TATATGCCTAACATGAAAAACTGATATATCATTCACCAGGGCATGAAATTATATCAAAGGTTATAGAAGAAAAAAAATTGAAGCATGAAATAAATAACAAACAGATAACAGACTGAATATCATGAGGTGAACTGTCAAGATAAAAGTTTTATTTATTTTTTAGATAAAAATTAAAAAACAAAATGATAGATGGGTTGATTTAATCAATAGTATGTGTTAATTTTAAAAGTAGACAATTATTAATATAAACCTTTTGTCTATATGATAAAATAATTAAATTTAACCAAAAAATGTGGTTATCTTATAAATATGAGTTTACTAAAATAAATACAATAAAATATTAAAAATTAGTTAATTTACACGATTAAATGGAGATATAGGTTTTAACATATTTTTTTTTGGACTTACTGCATGTTTTTAATAGTGAAAAAACAAAAGATTTAAATTTAAAAAAAATTATCTTGTTTAAATTTGACACCCCCGTTATGGAAAGGCCATGCAGTCTTTCCAAGTTGGGCCGTAGGTTCACACAAATAAGAAAAATAATATTTTACTTTCAGGCAAAGAGGCCGCTCTGTCTTGCGATTTTGAACCGAACATAAATAACCTCATTCCACCAAGTCTCCTACGCCGGTGGTGACCAGCATAATCTATAAAATTTATAATATGTTTGAAATTTACAATAAGCTCAATTGAATTCTGATAGGAAGAAGTTTCATCTAACATGTACATATATTTATGTGAATGTGTGTGTCTATGAGCATGTGTATTATTAACTTTTCAAAACACAATTTCCAAGATTTAAAATGGAAATCACTTGTGTTAGCGAAATAATTGAATAAGTCGAATTAATCATTGAGAATACACCACATTCTTTTTTCTTTTAAAATAGACATACACTATTAATATTATATAATATTAAAAATAGTTTGACAAATTCAATAGAAACAAGTTTCAATAAAGGGTAATCAATCCATTCATGGAAAGCTATACAAGAAAACTATGTATGGATTTCCATGAGGAGGTAATCACTGTTAATAATGGTATATAGAAACTACAATGAGAGCTTTTTATTTAAAATGTAAATCTATTTCCAATCCTAACTATATCTAAAAAAATGAGGACATTGATTAAGAAGCTGATAATTCACATATATCGACAATGACCATACTCCTTGTACTACTATCTAACAACAATTTTTCTAAGTAATTTGTAAATAAATTAAAAATACAAAATAATAGAGAACAAGAAGACAGAGAGAGAATCACTTTATTATCATAAAATAAAATAAAAGAAAAATAAGCAAATATGTATATATTTTTTCTTCCAATATAAATTGTGTCCTAACTGAACAGAGAGAAGAAACCTCCCCCACAAAAGCTACAGGCTTTATTTTAAATTTCCTGTTGGTGGAATATTAGTTATATTAGATTATTCTGGATAAAACCTTTAATACATCTGAAAATTGCATTAATATAACATCCTTCCTGTTTTGTGATACCCAGGGGTGCCTAGAACGGGGTTTCATGGTGCAAGTTGCGCTATCAAAATTTATGAGGGGTCACGCACTTTTTGAATGGGTTTTCAATTTTTTAGGGGGCACATTTCAACAGGGTTATGAATTTTCAAAATGAAAAGTTTCAAATGAAAAGACAAGTGGAAGCATGGAACAGACCGCAGTATGTGTAATTGTATATAATCTAGGAATATATAAATTCTACTTTTGTTTGCACTGCTTTTAAGAAGAGGAGAGGAATAAAATATCTTGGGAAGGGTGGGGGGATGGACACCTCTGGTGGCACCTTATGAAATTTAGTTTCAATATAAAATTTTTGATAATCCTATAATTTATCAATGAATTGCCTCAGAAAAAAAGTGAAATTAAACTTTATTTCAAGTCTATTTTAATTCTATTCCATAGAAAATATTTTATGAAGTGATGGCTCTAATTTTCTGATGTTCTGATTGGAGATCGTGCTTTAAATTATTGTATATAGTGGAAAAAATAACACCATTATATTAAATTATTTTCATGCTTTTTTAATTTCTATGTGTAAAAGTTATTTATTTTTGCTCTCATCACTGTAATATTATATTTAACAAATGATACCATATTTATAGAGGAAATATTGAAAACAGTTTCTTTCCAGCAGCCATAGTATGGAGGTAGCTTTAAGTATTTACCAAAATAAATCTGATAGTACCATAAACTCTTAATGTAATTTAAACTTTAACCTATATTTCTGTTATAGCTAGAAAATAGTAGCATTATAAATCAAATTTATTTTATGAAAAAATAATAACTGACATACTAACTTGATTATGTAATCATCATTTGGCATTCCTTTACCTAAATATGAACATTTTTTGTAGAAGTAAAACATCATTTTAACAAATGTTAGATTGATGTAATTAAAGTGAAGCAGAATCTACATAGTATTCTAAAGAAATAGGTTGATAAAACAGTTCAAAAACTATTTGTGAGTATGTAAAATTATTTTATACTTAACAAAATTATTAAATAATTAAAAAAAGGCACGTAGTAAAGAAAAAAAACATTTTCTTTTAAAAACATGTTTGTAGAACAATTTAGATGTATTGAGGAAACTCAAAATGTGAAACGCTCTATAAATTTATTGTCATGCAAGCACAAGAAAGCACATTTCCAAATAGGAAGCAGTATCATGCGGAAAGTTACATTTAACCTTGAAAAAGAGCTCTCATGCTTAAAATTCTTCAAATGAAAAAAGTATATAATAATAAACAACACAACAGTAAACGCAATCCTAATATTTAAAATATTGATCACAATCTATGAAACTTACCAAAAGATGTTTAATAACAGACATAATAATATCTAGATTTACAGTTTTCCAAACATTTATGAAATTAAATTTATAAAGCATTACAAACTATAATAATAATTTTTAATTTATCATCTATATTCCTCCTTCAAAATATAAATGAGTTTAAATACATATGACAAATGATACTTGTATTTATATAATCAATTTTGAATTTATAATATTAATTTTAATTTGGACTATAAATGATTCAATATTTTGCTTAACGATTATTACACAAATTATGATTTGTCATTGTTGAACTATAATATATTTGTATGATATATATAAATATTTGCACAACAATATTTAGTAGCAAAAAAATTCACTACTGAAGAAAAAACTCTTTGTCTTATATCCAAATGAGTTTTGACGTTGCTTCAAAAAATATATAATATAATATATTATATATAATATAATACTTTTTTTTTTCCGGTTGGCGCTACAGACCTTGAAAAATCTTTGACCACAAGATGTGGTCTTCTAGACCATATCCCGATTCCTGATTTAAGTACATGGGGGAAGGGTCATCAGTCCTACACCCGGTGAGTTGCCTCCAATAGGCTGACGGGCCTCACATACCCGGGGTGAGAGGGGGGAGGTCTCAGGCAGCATGGCTTTTCCTGGCAGACGGTCACCCAACCATGTGCTAACTAAACTCGGGGTTACTTAACTTGGTTACCTATTGCAAGCGCCTTAGCCCGCATGGCTGTTCGCTGTTTATTTGCACAACAATATTTAGTAGCAAACAAATTCACTATTGAAGATAAAACTCTTTGTCTAATATCCAAATGAGTTTTGAGGTTGTTTAAAAAAATAAATATAAATATATTTGAAGAACAAAAGATTCATGCTATTATTATTTTTTATTAAATTAATTAATTAAATATTAATGTGATTAGAGAATGGTTAAATAAATTCTAGTCTATACCATACAATAGAGCTGATCCTTGCAGAAAGTTAGAAATACTTTTAGTCCAGTCAACAAATGGCAAAAAAAGTGCTTGTAAAATGCATGGAGGATGGACAAGCATTTGACTTTAGGAATTTGTTAGGGGTGCTTAGAAGAAAAACATACTAAAAGTCTGTCTCCACTCCATCCCTAACTATATTAATGCTCAAAAACAGTAATTCCCATGTGCCAAAAAAATCTTGAACAACTAAAAAAATATTTTATTATAATGTTTAATAACATAAATTTGATATGAATCATGTAGCATTTTAAAATCTTTTACTTGTGAACTTATTATAATTAAAGGATAATAGTCCAGTCAACAAAGGGGTTGATAAGTGTATAGAGGATGGACAACCATTTGACTATGGGAATTTGAAAAAAAAAATTGAAAAAACTTTTCAAATGTATTGAGGAAATTCAGCAGAATACTCAAAACTGCCGTAACTTTAGACTCATAAAAGATAAATTAGTAGAGAATATGAATATATTTGAAGAAAACATTATATTCTACAATTTTCTTTCAGACGATGTTCTTGTAGAACGAAAGGCTGTGGTGTGTGGTGTTAAGAAGACAAGTTGGACAAAAAACATGAGGCGAAAATAAATTTTTCTTATTTTCAAGATATATGAGAAAATTTTGAAAAAGTGACCTTTGCGGTGCCCCCCTTCATGAAGCGAAGAGTTCAAGATTGTTTTGACACATGAGAGCTACTGTTTCTGATCATTATTATTTTATAAATTTTAAATCAATAAAATTAAGGATTTAAATATATATATATATATATATATATATATATATATATATATACACATACACATATATATTATACATATACATAAAAAACATGAATCATTAATCATATCTTTATAAAATATATTTTGGTATATATTTTTTATAAGAGATTAGTGAGACTTATAAATATATAGACTAAGTCTCACACCCTCTAATAAAAAAAGTAAATAAAAAAAATAGAAATTATATTTTTAAAGATATGATGTCAACGATTCAAATTTTGTACGATTTATTAAGGATTTATTTAAAGTGGCAATGACTGGCAATAAAAAATTATTAAGAAAAAAGTAATTTGAACCCATTTAGTTTATAATGATACATTAAAATATAATTTAGTTTGTTTTCATATTATAGTTCAACAATAAATCTTTGATAATTATTTCATCAGACTCATGTTAAATATATTTACCTGAACTAGCTGAGTGAGGTTGTTGCGGTGGACCTGAAGTTGGCCTTCGACTCGGCTTCCGTTCATTAGATATCTCATTTGCAGTTTTTAACACTTGGTAGGTAGAATCACTGCTATCACCTGGATATCCACCTACATGCATGAAAGCCTTTCAAAGCTGTTTCAAAAGCTGTTCTATAAGCCTTTATAAAACAAACTCTTGCAAAAAAATAAGTTAGTTAAGAGATCTTGCTTCTTATAAATTAGTTATTATAATGTATTATGATATAAAATCACAGCTTTTATGAACAATATAAATTGGAAAGAAATATTAATGCTAAAAAAAAATTAATTAAAATATTCTTCTTTTGTTCAGATCTAGAAATTATTTAAGGACAAAAATGGTGCTACAGAAACAAACAAGTCATCTATATATTTCTTTTTAATTTATTGAATCATGGAATGTGTTCAGGATTTAAATTTTTAGAAAGTTTGTATAAATGATCATCTGATTTGATTTGATTTTTCAAAAAATCTCATAATGGAAAAAAAAGAACACTGAATTTAATGACGTGAAATACATATTTAATAATAAATTTAATTTCTTATCCCTAGGGGTGCCCAGAAGGGGTTTCATGGCGCAAGATTTTTGAGGGGGCATATTTTAACGTTTTTTTTTTAATTTTTGAAGGGGCAAATTTCGACGGGGTTACGAATTTTCTGACTGAGGGACAAGGGTATCTGCAGGTAACAAGGTAACTGCAGTATGTTCCATGTTTTTGAACATACTGCAGTTATGTGTAATTGTGTATGATCTACGATTTCTATAATTCTACCTTAGTTTGCTTTGGTTTTAAGAAAAAATGAGCAACAAAATATCTTTGGAGAAGAGGGAAGGGGGTTAAGTTCTTGCGTCATCGACTTAGGGGGGAATGGGCACCCCCTGCTTATCCTCATACTTATATTTTCAATTCATAATCTAAGTCATTTGGATTATCTGAATGAAATTATCTTCTCTTTGTGAAGAGGATCTTATCATTCTGGTTGCAGTTGATTCGGCATGAGTGAGTAGGACATCAAAAAGTAACACCAAGGGAGCAACCCAAGCACAGATAGTATTTCTCCATGCAACTTAATACAATGCTTATTTATTTTACTGATATAACATACTTCTATTTATTTTTAATGCCTTCTTTTTGAGTTATAAAGAGTTTTGAAAGTAAAAAAATATTTTTGAATCTTAGAACATGATTCAGTGATAAAAACAACTCAACACAGCTGACATTATGACAAGGTTTACAAGTGACATAAATGGCTTGAAAAAAATGCAATCAGATATTGGAGACATAACTACACATAGAGTGGTAAAGATCATTATTTTTAACTTTATCAAATCTTTGAACAACTCAACAAAGTCTAACATTGAACCTTTAGTAATATCACACGGTGATAGCAATAATGTAGAAAATAAACAATACTAAATGAACAAAATAAGCAAATGAAATTGCAACAAATTTATCTTTCATTTAGAATACTTAAAGAATTGGGCTGCTTGATCTGATTCTAAAACAGAAAAATTAACAGAACCCTTGCCTTTTTCCTCCAAGAGACAAATTTTGAAGAAACTCTTGTGGTTAGAATTAAAGATTTTAATATATAATAAAATATTGGACACAGGGGTAATTAAAATAATTTTAGAGAATGATCCCACAATTATTTTTTAACACCGGCAAAGATATAAATTTTAAATCAATGCCTTTTCTTCAATTGATCTTAGTTTTATCAATGATAAACTAGAAGCACAAATTAGATGAGAAACAAAATCGCATCAATATGGAAGCAACTATTTCCCAATTAACCTAAAGATAAGAAGTGAGATTCTAACCCAAAGAGGAACTGTCATTCGTAATACCAGAGAGATGATTGGACAGCATTTCAAGAAAAAGTAAGAGGAAACCATTTAGAAAGACATATTTTTGGCCATAAATTAAATCTAAAATCTGATAAAATGTACTTCATTTTAGATATTCTATCCTATTTCATATATATAATGGTAGGATATGGTTAAGAAGGTTATAGGTATAATTAATAAATAGAAAATATACCATAATAAAATTTTTGTTGTAGATTTGTAGGTGTTATGAGGTGAGGTGGAAGCAGTGGCGGATCCATTAATTTTCTCAGGGGGGAGGCGCACCTCTGTACCAGATGCTTCCCCCACCCCTACCTGTTCCTCCACTACTACCCATCTTCCCCCACTCCTTAGCTGAATTAAGCAGCTCAAAGGTCCTCTTAAATAGTTTTAACAAAAGCAAACTCTATTTTTATTTAAAGCAAATTCTGTCTAGTTTACAGTGAATCAATCTTTAATTAGTTAAATTAAATATTTTTCTGTTATCACTTCCTATTCAAAAAAGTACATGACTTACATAAAAAATCATACAACTTTAATTCCCTTCTTACCTGCTGAAAATTGAACCATTGTTTGTATAAAGTTTTTTTTAATTATTGAGTTCTGCTATCATTCCTTTAAATACATCCTTCTACTTAAGAGACACCCTGTATATGAGTTTAGACATGTAAAAAACTAAATTTCTAAAAAGAGGAAAAGCCAAAAAATCCAGATTTATCTGATCTTTTTTTTTTTCATGTATTACTACAAAAGAGTGCATCAAAGCGAAATACGTATTCATTAAGATATTAAAGAACATAAAATTGTGCGTCGAACGAGTACCTAAACTTAATAATCTGATTAATTGATATTGTTGATAACCTCGGTCAACGAAAGCTAATTTTTACTGACATTGTCAAAATCTGAGAAATCTAAGAAAAAAACTCAGATTAATTTCCGATTCCAATCATAATCAGATACCGATCAAATCGGAGACCAAATATTAGTACCTTCCTTCATGAAAATGTTCCCAACAGCAGGTATTTTAAGAAAAAAACAACACTTTCTGATGAGAAATATACAAATTATTATCGTGACCAGTTTTATGAATTGCATAGGTTCTTCAAGGAGACTATGAACGAATGAATGAAAGGTATTTTTTTGATTTATCATTCGTCACATTGAGGTTGCAATATGTCCAGATATATTGGAACTGCATAAAAATTGGGACTGGGAGAAAACCCGTATTTTCTTGTGCTCGAATAAAAGATTGTTCGAAAGAATAAATAAAGTTCATTTTATTTTTCAATAAATTTTCCTCCATCATGTACTTCACCTGTGAAACTCAGTTTGGAGTCAATAGCACAAGCCTTCGCATCCCACGGCGGCCCCAAAACTACATCCTTTTTTCTTTAAATAGGTATTTTTTGTCACCTTTTTCCACCATCTAAGGGAATGCACTAGTGCTGGTCACGATAATAATTTTTCTTTATATTGCTTTAGGGAAATTGTGTATGGGCATGAATTTATCACTACATTATTCTTTTCTTTAAATAGGTGTTTTTTCACTTTTTTGGGAAGTTTTTTCCACCATCCAAGGGAGAGCATGGCCCTTGGCCGAATTCGCTAGTGCTAGTCACGATAATATTTTGAGGATAAATTTTCCCTATATTTCTCTTTTCTTTAAATAGCTACTTTTTGGAACCTTTTTTTTCAGCTTCCAGGGGGTTGCGCGCCCCCCGCCCGAATCCACTAGTGAATGGAAGTGTATTAAAAACAACAGGAAGCTTTTCTTAGAAGTGCTAAGTTGATACTCGGTAAGTTTCTACTATGTCTAAGATTTACAGGAATTTGCTGTTATTCACATAGGATATAGAAACATCTAGACAAGAATCACAAAACTCAGTTTTCCTAATATCTCTATAGAGAGGGACAGCTCAAATTTCAGAAGATAATAGAAGAGGAGATAGAAAAAAACTCACTATCTTTCCTCACTATCTGAAGATGGCACTCTACATCCAGTTTCAGACCAGATAAGACCTATATCTCTACACATCAACAAGTAACCATTATCATCCCAAGTTTGACAATCCATTACTGGATCATGGTTGCCTCAAGAGTTACCTTCCAGTTTCCTTGTTCTGAGCCATCATCCACCAGTTCCTGATTCAAAAGATTCTGGCACCGGCACTTACTCCATCTATCCATCTCAATTTTGGTCTACCTTATTTCTTTTTCAACTTGGCTCCATGCTGAGCAACTTATTTGGAGTTGTGGTCTCGTTCATTGGTACAACGTGGCATGCCCATCTTAGTCTTGCTATCTGGATATATTTCACCACATCCGACTCCTTGTATAAACTTATACAACAGAGCCACACATCACGCACTGAGCCACATATCTTCCGAAGGATCTTTCTTTCGAAAACTAACATTTTTCTCTCAGTAGCCTTCGTCAATGTCCATGTTTCACACCCGTATATCAGAACCGGAGAGTTTGTACAAGGGAAGTTTAGTTATTCGTAGCAGTAAAGAGCCATATAGTTGGTCTTTTCCTCATTAATCTCAAGTCCCATCTTCACTGCTACTGCCTCTGGCAAATTCTAAGTGTCTGTCGTAGCTGTTAAGGATCTCCCAAAAATACATATGTCATCGGTGTAAACTACTGTTTGAATGCTTTTTGTAAATAAAGAGCCTGTTGTTTGTATAGTAGCATCTCTCACTAAGCTTTCTGCTCCTAGATTAAAGAGAGTGCATGCATTAAACCTCATTCGCACTTGAATTTATTTAACAGATCTCTTTCCACTCTTACATGGAAGTTGGAGTCCTTCATGGTCGCCCTGACCAATCTAATCAGCTTTTGTGAGATTTAAAATTTTTTCATTGCCATATATTGTATAATTTTTTGTGCAATACACTGTCATACACCGCCCTGAATTCTCCAAAAAGCATGTGTATGTTGGAGTTAAATTCCTTCATTTTCCTCAGGATCTGCCTTAAAGTGGTAGAACTGGTTGGTGGTAGACTTTCCCCTACTGAAGGCACTCTTATACTGCCGAGCCACTTTGTCCACAAAAATATGTGGCTTGTTATTGAGGGTGTTGAAAATATCTTATATTTTCAGCAATGTGATGGCCCTATAGTTGTTACATTCCAGAGATCTTCCTTTTTTCATATGAGACATGTAGTACCAGTTCTTCATTCTTTTGGTCTTCCATTTGCACTTCTTCCATCCATGCCTACATTATAAAGTTATGCAATATTTTTATGGTTTCAGGTACTCCATGGCAACAAGTAAAAGCACTTTGTTATACATATAAAATATTCTGCAGAAACTAAGTGTTAAAATAAATTTGAGGTTAATTAGGTTTATAAACAATTAAAGTATTAATGGCCGATCTTGTTATTAAATTTATAACTATTAATTATTGAAATTCTTGAAGCTTAATTTAAAGAATATTTGTTTATTACATGATATTATTTATAAAGAGTTCATTTTATGTTATTTATATAAATTATCAGGGTTCTAATTTGTTGAATAATTTAATGTTTTTTAAATGAACATATAATGTTTTTCTTGTTAGTAGTTTAGTGTTTTAACTCTCCTATAGCCAACAATCCTGATTAAGAATTCACTAGTAATTATTTCATATAAATTATTTATTGCAGCTTTTTCGTCTGCCAAATTATTGTAATAAAATTTGAATATTAGCAATCCCCTTCAGAGAATATTCTACCCAATGACAAGCCTGTTAATAGTAATAAATAGATAAGTTTTTATAAATAAATAAAATCCAAACAGGATTTTATGCCCAGGACTGGGGCAGACAGGAAGGTTGTTGCAATATGTATATAAATGGTGGCTAATACCAGAATCACCATTTAATGGTTCTTTAAATCTTCACACAGAGTAATAAATAAAATAGGCTAGAAAAAAGGTGAAGCTGGATCTCAAGATCTCAAAGTGAAGCTGGATCTCACAGAGCTGGTGGGTAAAAATAAAATATGTAATTAAAAAGAATACTTCTTTTAAAGACTATCTGAAATTTTTTAAATTTCAGAAAATGTTAGGACAATATGTTAAGGCCTAAGGATTGGTGTTGTCCATATTTAGACTGCAAAAGAGTTTAATCTCTTCAAGTAAAGTATTATATAGAAGAAAACAAATGTAATAATTAGTTCTTTGTAATGTCAATAATTATGCCTCCTTCACTATAAGAAATGTTTCAATATTTTATTTCAAAAGTTATATCGCTCAATAAACAATACGATCCCAAATACACATTTCATTCACTATGTTAAGAGAAACATACGAAATGTTAGTTACAATTACCACACAAAGCATAATTATCAATTTGTTAAAATACAGAAAAACAACTGATATGTAAGTAATTTGAACCTCCAGAGACTCCTTGGTCTTCAGGCTCCCTAAAAGTGACTGACCGAGAAGAGATACCTCTATCCTTGTCAGAGGTTCCTCCAGGAGAAACAGACCTTCCGGGTCTCAGTCGGCCTACATCCAATGGACCTAAACGACTCAGTAAGTTAATTAAATAATTTATATTTTAATTAAGTGGTAATTATAGATTGTTACAGTGAAGAACTTAAATGGGGAACATAAACGTAAACCTTCTTAATAAAAATAATAAAATTTTAATTTTTAGCCATATTAATAATATAATTCCAATTTTATGGACTATCATTAGTTGCCTTCCAAGATTGGTAGTCAACATTCAATTGTCTGTAATATCAGATTGTTCTTAAATGGTTTCCAGTTAGAAGGCTTTGTTCATCCAAGAAATTCAGCAACATGATTTTTAATATTGAAGATAAATCAGGTATAGATCAGGTACTAGCAGTATCTTCTTCTTTATAGATGAGTCCTTCTCAAGGTTCCGACAATTATGATAGTAATTGAAAGTAAGATTGTATGGAGGATAATGTGAGCGTTCCTCTGTGCTGAACGAGCCTAGTTCTGCTCTTGGTTTTGCAAACTAAACGTTTCTAAGAACAGAAAACTTAGGGGTATTATTTGGGTAAGTGAGAATCACAGTTAAACAAGAATGTGGTTTTCTTAATTTTACACTGGATACCTGAAATTAATCAGAAGATAATTGAGGATAGTGGAGCACTGTGTTGACTAAACTATCTTTGAAGAATACTCTAAGATTTCAAAGATCTCAACCTGTTCTTGTTCTGACTAATTTATTCTTTTTAATTTAAAATAATTAATAAATTATTTCTCTCTTAATTAATTATTTACTTGAGAGAGTACCAAGCTTATAAAGGCTTGGTGTGCCCCAGAAAGGTCCCCCGATCCGAGGATTGATCTACCTTACATCAAATCTGGTGGTTGAGAGTGATACAGGCCCGATCACCTCCCTGCACGACCATTGGCCTTGAAACAGTTCTTTCTAACAAAGCACTCACTCCAAAACCCTTCATGGGGGTGGTACAGGTTAATAAATGATTTAAAGTAATAAAATAAATAAACTAATATAAACCTGTTAAGATAGTTGTTTCTTTCGTAAGATGGTAATCCACATATAGAGTATTCAATGGTTTCAGATTTTTTAATTTTTATTTGTTTTACCAATTATTCACAAATCTATGTCTTATACAAATTGTAAATGGTAAATACCGCTTATAAAATTAGAAAACTAACTATACAGGAAATAAATGTTTAGAGAATTGTTTACGATTATTATTCTGTGGCTATATTGATAGGAACATGCGGCAAACTGTTGTGGAAAATTACTTTATTATTATTTATTTATTAACTGCATAAATTTTATTAATTTAAATAATTTCTAAAGTACAAATAAAATATAACAATAAAGGTGACAACAATGGTTCAGACTAATGAGATCTTGGGCATTCCCAGCTTGTGTCTGTTCACCGGTAGCATCCATTAAAGTTACAACGAATCTCAGTTGTTTTTGTTTTAATATCCCACGATCCCATGACACAAACACAACTAATATAAAACATGCACAGGAAATCTTTAATTTAAATTGTTCTAATTGCTGTTTCCATCGGTCTCCTAGCAAATCATAATTAATTTTATCCAATTAAGGTGAAGCCATATGGAGGGTAATGTCTTTAGATTGACAACTTCTAATGTTTAAATGCTTTTTAAGTGAATAACTTTAACCAATTATTAAATTCGATGAATAAATTATTGAGTGAGATCAAATGAATGTTTTGAAACAATTTGAGTTCATGTTTTATCTGTTTCTTAAAAGGTATGTAACAATTATTTTTAGTGAACAGCTCGACTGATTTTTAAGTTTGAAAGCTCAGATTATTCATTCATGTCCTGTAAATGTTTTGAAACAATATAAGCCCAAAATGCTGATAAAATATTTAATTAATTTTAAGCATTCTCAATTTTTTGTTTGTTTCATACCATACCAATTATCAAAAAATAAAAATGTTGAAATAAAACAATAATTTATTGATTAAAGAATAAAAATAGAATTGACGACAGAAATAACTCAAAAATGCAAGTACATAGCCCTCAAGTTGTATAGAGTTATTTTTGTACTAATTTTTTTTTTTATAACAACAGCAGTATTTATTTCAAGTTTTAAAAACTAAAAACATTACGAGTTTCTAGCATTTTAATTTTCAGTTCTCCAAGTTAATTTAATATATGTCAGACTATATTTAAACATTTCTTCCTCCTCGCATTTTTCTTTAAATTGTCATTTATTATCTTATTTAATAATAAATAAAAAATTGCAAGAATAACAAATAAAGTAAAAATCTTTGTTATTTATTCTACCTTCATCCTCAGGAGGATTTCCACCTCTTGTTTCGATTTCAGAACTAGACTTTTGTCTTCGAAGTAATCTTGATTTTGTTTGGCATTTTCCAACTCTTTCTTGACAATCAATATGAACATTGAGTTTACATAAACGACATTTTAGACCCTGCCGAGTATGGCCTGAAAAATAAGTGGTCATTAATTTAAAGTAGCATTACAAAACAACATTATAAAACTTACAACAAGTAAGAACACTATAAGATATCTATAAAACGAAACTGCATATCATCTCTTATGAAGACATATTGACTTATGTTTTCACATAATATTTCTGGTTTCTGAAAATAATTGAGTAGTTACCTGAATAAACAAGTAGCAGTATGGTCTTGAAAAAAACAAATTTAGGTTAATTTGTGTCACGCTAGGGACTCTAGTTGTAGTATAGATTATTTTTTGGATCCAACCGTCACATACATGATATAAAATGAAGATGACAAGCATAGACCACTAAATGCCAAATCAAATAGGCAACTGAGTTCTTAGCCTGGTCTGTTTCATTGGAATATTATTTAGCAATAAATTTTTAATAGAATACTTTTTATTTCCTGTTTATAAAAGGCATTTGAACTAATTCAGCTCATAAAAGATTTTTAATCATTTGTGAAAACTTTAAAAATGAAATTGGTTATTTCATTGAATTATATTCTAACATAAATGTTCTGAGATCAGTTATATTAAAAAAAAAAAAAAAAAAAAAAAAAAAAAAAAAAAGGGGAAAGTAAGAAGATACTTGCTATTTGAGTTGCAAACCACATGAACATTGTTTCATGATTGTTATTTTTGGATCCATAGTGTACAGCATACAATCAAAATATTATGCAATTTTATTAATTATATTTTAAGAAATATTAGATGCCTACATAATCTGGAAAATGATGTGTTTTAAATAATATTCTCTTAAGTCAAAAACAATAAAATTTATAAATTTATTATCTTTCTTTTATTACTTGTTTAAAAGTAGGTGGATTAATGATGGTGAAAACTATTGATGATAGATTTTAATGATAAATATTGCTTCGTAGAAGTTTCAAAACCCTTGGACAGGAATGGTATTAAATATAAAAATAATAAAAAAATAAAATATTAACAACCTCTTAAAACTTGAGAACAGACATCACAAGGAGTTATTTTCTTATAAGTATATTCCTGGAACTGATGAGCACTATCTCCAGAAATCATATTAAGTTCTTTGCCGTTTCTCCTGAAAAAATAAAAATAATTAATATCACTAGATATTTTAAAAAAATATATTAAAATAATACAATTTATAAATAATCCATTTAATTGCATTTTCTTATTCATTATATGCAAAAAGTGAGAAACATCAAATATTAAATATTATTACTAGGAGAAAAATAGATATGAAGTGTAAAAGACATTACATATAATCTTGTAGATATATATTTGTTGTCTTTAATACCAGATTAAAGTATCCAGTTCTATGTACAAATAATAACCAAGTTTATAGTTTACAGTCATTATGCTATATTCCTGCACCCTCCCAACCCAAAAAAATGAAAATTATTAGGAGTGACAAGTTTCTAAATTATTAAATTCAGAGGCAAATTGAGATAAATAAAATGTAATCAAAACATTATCAGTATAAAATTCAGTCTTGGTAAAACAACAATCCAAACAAATGCAAAAAAAAAAAAAAAAAAAAAAAAAATGGGTTATCTGTATTTTATGTTTATGAGGTTCCTTTCTCTAACTTTGAAGAGAAATTCCACAATTCCATGGCTTAGTTTGGAGAAAATAAAGAATGAATGTTAGAATATAGATTGCTGAAAAAGAAACTTTATGTTATTTACTCATATACAAGAAAGAAAAAAGCTGATTAGTTTCTTTTTTCTTTAGGTCTGATGATGACTCCTAATACAATAGTTCATCAGCATTCTTTATTTTATCTTCTGTTTTTTTATTTGATTTCAACGAAGTTCCATTGAACCATAATACTTGTAAATCATGTGAGCATTACGAGACTTTATATTAGCACTACTCTTTAGGAGTTTAATGACCTTTTGCATCTGTTGTGATCTTTTAAAATGCTTTCCACAATCTTCTTTTTTCCTTATTCATTTTGAAAGTGTTTTCTATCACTGTAGTTATAAGTCTAGATTGTAAAAAAAAATCAACTATTTATTAGTGATTAATGAATCATAGCTTAGCTTCTATTGAAATAGGATATATGTGGTCACAGAGTATACAACCTTCGATAACTAATATACTCAAAACATATGAGTGTTGGGGTGGTTATATATACATATACAAAATATCATATACCAGTAAACACAATATTACGTAGTCTCATCTTGAAAATTGGGGATTCTGTTAAATTCGTATTTAGTCAATAGTGATAAGTATATACTCTCATCACATCTCTCAGAGTGATCGTTTTATTACAAAAAATATTGCTATATTTCTTACACGAATAGATTTAAAAAAATTATTGGGCACTGTTTAGCTTACCAAAATATCATAGAACATGAGATCTAGCTTATTTATGCTTTATCTTGATCGAACATTTTTATTTCTAAAAGATAAGTGGTATTTTTTCTTCATTAGAATACAATATTAGCAAATTTAAAATTTTAATTGTACTACAAAGATGAGAAATAACTTAATTTATCATTGAATCAGAACTTAATGACTGAAGTTTTCCTACTCAACATCTACAATTTTTTGTGGCAGAAATTGGGTTGTTCCATCAAGGAATCTATTACTGAAACCACTATAGGTAACCATATCCTTGCCTTTGAATTAATAGTTACCTTTCATACCTGAATAAATACTCATTTTTAATAAGAAAGACCAGTTTGAAGAAAGAAGAAATAATTAAGAAAGACTCAAATAATTTTATTTCAGTTAGTTGGAAATTAAACACTAGTTACACATATGTAAATTCATGCTTTTTTCCTAAAAAATATGCATGTTGAGGATTATTAGTTTCAGGCCTACATTTAGAACATCTAGAACATAAGACAATATATTCGTAAGAAAGAGATAATTTTAATTTAGAACAATGTAAAGAATAATAATACGTTTTATAATTTAAATGTTTAAGAATAATTTTACAGAGTTCTTTAAAATATTTTTAATCACTTAGAAGTTACTCTAAAATAAATCACATATGTTTTGAGTTAAAAAGGGCAGAGTATGTCTATGTTTATTAAACAGGATGTGTAATTTTTTGAATAAGTATAAAAATATTGTATGCTATACGTAGCGGAAAACACTACAATAATTGTATCAGAGCATTATCTTAGCTGCAAGGGCTTACTGCACAGAAATCAGTAAGTGTTTCCTAGTTCTACTGTTTTTAGTTATTAAATATATAAAATTCTAATTTGTTGCCTCCTTCTACTAATGTCTGTATCTATTCTTTTCTTTGTCTGTGGCAAGTTCATCATTTTGTTAGGTGCTTGATATTAAATATTCTTTCATCATCTATTTTTGTATATGTGTATGCAACCTTGGTGACATCCTCTAACAATATTAGTGAAATATAGAACCAACAAGTTAAATATATTTTTAGCAACACCAGTAATTTATTAGATTTTATAACTATCTTAGAACATTATTCTCAAAAGACAAAGATTCATATCTTCATGAAATATTGTTACCTTAAAAAATATATAAGTATACCAAAAGTGAGAAACCTCACTTCACTAAATAAAGTAAACTTCAGAATGATTTGTCTATAAACCTAAAAACTAGATTATGAATTATTTTTTATCTATAAAGTTTCTATTCTGTCTGAAAAAAAAATGATAAATTACAAAAATAAAAATAATGACTAATAGAAAAAAAAAAAATCAATGCAGATGCATAAGCTATTACAAGCTCACATTGATTAAGCATAATGTTGAATTTGAGAATTCTCTAGCAAAGCTCCACAAAAAGTGAATGGTGTATTTAGTTTAATTGCTTTATATAAATGATGAACTGCAGCATATAAAAATAGACAAAGCAATAACATATAAAACACACAGATATAAAAAAAAAAGACATAACACAAATTACAATTTTTCATTATTGCCTATGATATTATTATTACATTGTTAATATATTTCATTTAGATGAACAACATAAATCCTCTTAATAAACAAGAAACTATACTTTGCAATTTAAAAAATATAAATATTTTTATAAATTGAAGTTGTAGTGAGGATTATAAATACAACATATTTTGTGAAGTATGCTCCATAAATGAAATAGATTAATGAATTGATTTAATAAAGTGAACAATCGATCAAAAATGAACAATTAAATATGAAGAGTAAGAACATAAAAATGAACAAAATTAATAAATTAGTAAGGAATAGAATGAAAAAAAAAAATGGTACATACCAAAAGCAGTGGATTTAAAATAGCCATGTTAAACATCATTAAAATTATTCCTGCTCAAAAATTAGTACCCATTTCTTTTATTAAAAAAATTCGGGAATAAAATAAATAAGTTTATGAAAGTAAATTTGATGTTGGACTTGTTGACTCAGCCAATCAGAAATATCTTATATATATTTCTTATGCAGAGCCTAAAAGATTTCCTCTTCAAATCCCAGTTACTACTCCCAATACTTAAATCACAGTTAGTTACGTAAATAAATTGACAATTTTCACTAATATTTTTTTCGCCATAAAAGCTGTAGAAGAATTACAAGAATGTTATTCTATTTAAAATCAAAAATATTAATGGGCAAACTGAAAGCTTTATAAGGAATCTTATATTTTTTTCATAGATGCCTAGAATTAGCCACAACATTTAGAAATTAAGTAATTTCCAGAAAATTACAGTTAGACTTGATCAGTACCCAGTCAGCCATCAGAATATTAACCATATTCGACAAAAAAGATAATTGAAATACCTTTTCTGGTTGGGTTCACCAACACTATCTTGGAAGCTAAATCAGAAACAAAATAGGAAATTTCTAAAATATCGAGGAATCATAATCAAACTTAAAAATTCAAAATTGTATTCCTTACTGAAGCAGTTTTTGTGGAAACAGATAATGGCTATAACATAAACATTAATTCAACATTTGAGCATAACAGCCTGAAATCGCACCAGACAAGATCTCATAAAGAACAATTGATCCACGTTTGTGAAGAGTGGAGCACAATCCCAAGTTTATACTACATTATCATTCTCTTTTCTTTGAAGAGAGAAGTTAAATATGAAATCTGAACTCTGCTGAACTTAAGATGAATTTCTATAGAAGTCTAGTTACTAAACATAAAAAATACCAATGAATTTCCAATTTTGATTCCCAATAGTGCAATAAATATACCACAATAAGATTAGAAAAAGGATAAAATTAATTTGTAGATACATATACCTACTTGATAAGAAATAAAAAAAGAATAATTAAAATTAAAGTATAGTGTTTTCTCATCTTCACCTGTTAGAGTGGTACCAAAATGCATGATAATACAAACATTAGAGAGTTTAAACCCAGAAGTAAGCTTTAGAGAGTTTAAACATTAGAGAGTTCAAACCAAGAAGTCTGACCATAACAATTGAAAAAAACAAGTTATTTATCAAGTAAATGGTTTTGTTATTTAGTATTGTATCACAAACATTTTTAAATGTGTGATAGATTGCTATTCTTCCCTTTGAAAAAAGCCATTGCTAACAGACTGATTCTCTAAAATAAATGTGTGATATAATTTCATAATAATGGTATTAATATGATATTTTGTAATTAAAACACATAATTAGCAAGTATAAACAAAATTGGTCGACTAATTTTAAAACTGAACAATATAAATATTATTGAATATAATAGTTATAACAGCTGAAAGTGTAATATAATGAATAGTGAAGAAGAACATGTTAAGATGCAGCTGTAATATAAGAAGTTACCTCATAGCTATGATTGTTGATACTGCATGGTACATTTGGTTCTTTCTGCAGGCAGCAGCATCCGAATTGGTAAAAAATTCAGTAATGGATAAAGGTTATGAAGTGGAGATAAACATTGGAAGGTAAAAAAAAAGAAAAGAAAAATCATACAATATTAGTTGCAATCTACATTTGAAAAATACCTAAACTATGTAAAACTATGTTAGACTGACTAAAAAATTGAGAAAGATTTTCGTTCCTAAGTCCATTCTTTCACAACAAAATACAATGAATACAAATATGAAACATTATAACTTTCTAATGTAATTACTTCAGTTTTCATTTGGCTGTTACTA